CTTTCTTTGAAGTACCAGGTAATGTAACTATGTTTGGTATTGATAATTTATACAGAGGTATTCTAAGTTATACTACAAATACCGAGCCCGTTGTACTCATACCTCTTAGTGTGCCTTTGGTTTGATGAGTCAAACTCAAGGTGTACCCATAACCTCATTTTTAGTTGAGGGAAATAATATTTCTTACCTGAACACTATTGTCCTAAATAAGGTTATACGTGTGAAATCCCTGACACACAGCAGTAGTAACGGTTTCATACATGTTAGTTCCTTTCTCTTATGACACACTCCTTTCACTCTCCATTTGATGTATTTTATAATATTATATGTTTTTATCAAATGACACAACTAGAACATTTGTGAAACCAATGATAATTTAACTTCTGTTAATTTTTGAATCTAGCAAAGCCTGTGTTGAAAATTTATGTCAAAGGTCAGAAATATTTCCTTTGTCAAAATGATTTTTGCAATTTGGGTCTAGAGATTTAGAGCAGTGGTACCTCCTGGGATATCTTCATCAACCATCTGCACCCATGAATTTCACACTTGAGATAACTGCTACATTTTCAAAGTCTGGCGGCTGAAATTCACACTTATTTTTAAGCTCTCCTACCAATCTCCCTAACTCTTCAAGTTGAGATTTCCATCTGACATTGATTTTCAGATTTCATTGCTACAAGGGAAAACTCTTATCTCAAAAATTCCTACACTGAACACTAGACCATTTTGTAAAAATACTTTAGCTCAAGCATCAAAAACAGTGTCAGGGAACAAGCTACTCAAACTGAAATGCAGTCTTCTGTGAATCCCAGTAACTAGGAGACATTTTCCCACAGGCTGCAGAATATAGACGTGGAAAACTTACTTTCTATGCTATTTCATGGGTAAAGGGATTTGAATATAATAGAAAAGAAATGACGATAAAATTTATAGCTCAAAGGTGTTTAGCAAAGGTTATATGCATCTATGGCATGACAACAACATGCACTTATTCGGTTCTTTGCTTCTGTTTTAACCATTATGGTGCTCTGTACCCAACGACAGAAGGCCTGGCCGAAAGAAAGTTACACATGATGGTTTAAATTTCACACCTTATTTAAAATCAAACTTAAGAAAAATTTCTAATTTGAACTACTTTCTTAGACATTTGTTTAAAAAAATGTAATGCACTCCAAAGGGAGGTACTCCAGAATCAGAAAATCCAAATATAGTTCTAGGCTATCACTAGCTAGCTCTGGGATCTAGGGCAAGCTACTGCATCTTCTTTGTCTTTAAGTTATGGGTCAGTAATATATATACATATATAAGCTCTGGTCCTTGACAAAGAATCTGTGATTTTTTTTAAGCTATCACAGAGCGGTTAAACTTGCAGTTTCTGAAGCCATGTTGTGGTGATTATTTTCCAGCTCCACTAATTACCACCTGTGTGAATTTGAGCAACTTACATAAATTTTGTGTGCCTCAGTTTTCCATCTGTAAAATGGGAAAAATAATATTACTCATCTAATGAGGTTGTTGTCAGGATTAAATGAGCTATATTCTAACAATGGTAATATACATTTTCTATATTTTAACAAATCTTAAAGCAGGGTACATATTAAGTAAACCATAAATAAGCATTAATCAGAGCTCTAAATGAAAGAGTTTTTTCCTTCATGGCCCATGAGCTAAAGCATGTTTTATACTCAGTAATATCTTAGGTTATATGAAACTTGGTAATACATATAAAGTGCTTAGAATAGTGTCTGGTACAAAAATGCCCAACACCTGATATTAACATTTATCCATAAGCAATAATTGTTATATGAAGTTAAGAGTGGTATGTTAAGAATGATAATTTAAGAGTGATTAAAAGCTTGCTAGTCACATCAGCCTTGGTTTATTTTGTATCTAATGTCATAATACAAATTTAATAACTTCATTCAGATTAACAGACATTAATTGACCCACATGTGATCAACAGTACAGTTTTATAAAATTAAATATGTTTAGCCCTGGCCGGTTTGACTCAGCAGTTAGAGCGTCAGCCAGCAGTCCAGAGAGACCCAGGTTTGGTTCCTGCTAAGGACATGTACCTCGGTTGCAGTTTGTCCCTGGCCCTGGTTGAGTCATGTGGGTGGCAACCACTCGATGTGCCCCTTTCACATAGATGTTTCTTTCTCTCTCTCTCCCTCCAGCTCTATCTGAACAAAAAGTGGAAAAAAATGTCCTCGGGCGAGAATTAAAAAAAAAAAATTAAATATATTTACGGTAAAAATAACATTTTTAAAACTTTAGTAAGCTCTTTAAGAGACAAAGTCTAACTTGTGAGAAAATAAAAAATTAGTAACATACTCATTTATCAGGCTTAGCATGTTATTCAATAAAATAAAAAATAACAACATATCACAGGCACCAGTGTATAGGTTATAATCACCTGTTACTATTAATTCTCAAGAATAATTAATACTAGATTAGTAACTTTTAAGAAAATGGTTATTAAAATTTTGTTATTGATCTGTAGATGTTAAGCATTTATAAGAAACCTTGTCTCTCAGATGCTTTTTATAAAATGCCAAAGCTAGCATCATTCTGTTTTCAAGTTTCATTTTATAAGAAACATCAGAGATTATCACTCTGCATTTAAAAATGTATACTTAAGTAACTAGTCATATGGTCAAAAGCAATTTTAACTGATCAAGTATAAAATGTAAATGATGGTTGAATATACACGTAAAAAGTTTTAAATAGACCCTGGCTAGGTACGTGCTACAAACATGTCAGGTATTATTTAATATCCTAGACCGCCAAAGAGAGCTAGGAGCTTATAAATGAGGTCATCTAAAATCATTCAGACTATAATGGGTCTGGAGTATGCTGGTGAAATGATAATTTATGGGATAATAGATTCCTAAAATAATTCTGTCTACTTTATTTAGAAATATGGAATTGTAGGTTTAATTGTACTGTTTTCAGATCATTTGAATCATAATATAAATTAATACCATAGCTCTAAGTATCATTTCTTCTTATCCATATTCTCTAGAACTTTAGTCAAATAAACCCTGTATAAACCGTGTTGTGTGCTTTGGGCTTTATAAACTATCTAGGGCTGAAAAATCACATGGTTTATAGAAAATTATTTTAATTATAGATCTTTTCAATTCTCTACAAAAAATAAGATAATCTTCCGTAAACAATTTTTATATCTCACCCCCTGAAGCAATCAAAGAGATATCTGGGGAGAAGGGATTCTTTGCTCAAAATACACAGGCATGACTATGCTATAAAAATATATCTAATTCTTAGAAATTGAAATCCACTTGGATTCCAATGGCCTTCAGAACATTTTGGGTAGGCTTTTAAAAGATTTCCATTACTCTTTATTCATGAATAAAACATATTTATTATTGCCACAGAGTAAGGGTTATTATGTTATTGTTGGATGAAATAAGGGTGACTAATGGAAGTAACTCCTGTCTTCTAGAAAATTAAATTACACACGGCGATGATGAAAAATCAAAGGGCTAAAAAATTATGGTTCTTCTCGCAACTGTCATGTGATTAGAACTTTGGAGAAAGAGAAATAAAGATAAAAATTAAAGCAAAACAGGAAGAAGAATATAAGCTATTGTTTAGAAAGATGTTTCTGAATAGTTAGATCCACATATAGATAAAGAAAAAAGAAAAATATGTAGAGGACAAATGAGGGGATAAAACTGTCCAAATTATCACTTTACCCCTTTCTAACTCAATTAATGATTTGTCCAAAAAAAGTTTCTTATCAATAAAATTTTCATTAGTAGTCTGACTTACATTACTTACTACCAAGTCTTCTGATAATGATCGATTCTTTAGTTGGCAAAAAAAAAAAAAAAAGTGAAAAAAATAAAAATGTTTTTAATACTTTTAAGGGAATAGGGAAAAAAAACCTAGCTTTAATGAGAAAATAGAATACATATTAACACACACATACATATACACACATACCTATCTAGCTATCTATCATTATCTATCTACATTATGTTATGACTGTCAAAAATAGGTGAAGTAAAAATATATGTATAAATATTAGAATTAATATCGAAACACATTTCTTAAAAATATGAATCTTTTATTGTACAATGTAAGCATACTTAACCTTTCTGAACTGCACACTTCAAGAAGATTACAGTGGTAAATTTTATGTGTTTTATACCACAATATATAAATAATAAAAGGTAACAGATGTTTGAGTCCAGCCAGGTTAGAATAATTGGTATTGGAATAGTCCTCCCAACAGAAAGCAAGAAAGAATAAAAAGAAAAAAGATGGAAAGAAGAAAGGGAGGGAGGGAGGGAGGGAGGGAGAGAGGAAGGAGGATAAAGAATGAGAAAGGAAGGACAGAAGGAAGGAAGGAAGGAAGGAAGGAAGGAAGGAAGGAAGGAAGGAAGGAGGGAGGGAGGGAGGGAGGGAGGGAGGGAGGGAGGGAGGGAGGGGGAAAGGAAGAAAGGGAAATCTACATTTTACAGTGGCTAAAAATCTTATTTTAAATTGAAATTACAGAAAAATAAAGGATCAAGCAGTAAAAAAAAAAAAGGGAAAAGATTAATAAAAACCAAACTTAGCTTGTTTATATTAAACACCATTGTCTTTTTTTATCTTCCTGAGGTATAGGGGATGAGGTAAATCAATCTTTCAACTGGCAGATGTATCTTTTAACTCAACAAATAACACATAACTCTGAAAGTAAGTTGCCTATTACTTTCTCCAAAATAGGTAAAAATCAACACTTTGCATTCAATGACAAGAACACTCCACTGTATTTAGCAGTCGGACCATTGCCAAAGGAGAAAAGGATTATCATTCTCTCTCTGTTCTAAAATAGTTTACTTAAAGTTGTTCGTAAAAGGCACTAGTATAAAAATATGAACATTAAATAGGTCAGCCAAGAAAATATTTATAATAGTTCTATTATTGAAAGTCACACGAAACATTCAAATTCCTCAGTATTAGCATGGTCTCTATAGAGATACGCATACCTCATAATGGCTTTCTTCATGCTCCTGAGTGTGGAAGCCCGCAGAGCTGGGACATTTCTGAGGAGTGACAGGAATATTGTCACTTTTGCTGTGTGAGTTACACTGAAAGAGATTACCAAATAATTGTGACAAACTACTCCACGTTTAGAGTGTCTATTGAGAGACATGGTTGTTGGCTAGGAGACTAATTAAGGAATACAATCTGCACGAAAAAGGTCGACTCTGCACTGATAGGCACATGCATTCATATTGAGCTTTCACAGAAGAGATGAACATTCAACCAAGGATAAACAAAGTGTCAGAATGGGTTCACTAAAACTAAAGAAATCTAAAACACAGTTATTTTATTTGTACTCTGTCAACAATACTGATGTATTATGCTTATGATTTTAGTAGCTAAAACTTATATTTCATAGCTAAACATAATAATATCTCGTGCATTGCTATTTGTGATATTATTCAAGCACTAGAAGTATATAAGACACATATTAACCTATGACATAAATATTATTATCATCTCCACTTACAGAAGAGGAAAATAAAGCATAAAAAATATTTTTATCAAGGTTGGACTCTACTCAGCTTTATGGGACCATGGGCCGTATCTCATCTACCACATGCACAGCCTCTATAAAGATGCATTTGAAATAGAGAAAAATGAGAAAGTAAAAGCTTAAGGTCTTAAAATATTACTGCACTTTTTTTCTGCACTAAATATATTTTTAAAAATAGGTTAACTAAAACAATTCACTGGAAAATAGATGTGAGTTGTAGAATATAAGATATTAAATTATGGTTTGGTCTTTCTCTGTTAAAATATTAAAATGGCTCTTTTCAATATTCCTCGCAAGTTTTTTTTTTTTTTTATGTGAAAATAAGATATTATTTACTTTGCGTTATCCTGCTTCCGTCTTCCTTAAATCTCTTGTTAAATTCAAAGCAAAGAATATTTATCGGCCTTGCTGTTCGGCCGTTTATTAAACATAACATTGGTGTTTGTAAGATTTCTCTAATAAAAGATATTGTAGTGACTTCAAAATGAATTTATCATTGGTATATAACCATTCCTCTCCATGAGACTACAACATGTACACACAATTTTATGACTTAAGTAGGAAAAGCAATGTTTTTTCAAACCAGTATGCCAAATTTTCAGTCCACTAATGATATCTTCCTTTCCCCATCCCAATGAACAATTTGTTATAAAATTTCTATCAAAGACATCTTAAAAAGCAAACAAGTGCTAGAATTTAGCATATTGAATTTAGTATATTATCATCTCAAGACTAACATTTTATATATTTAGATACATTTTAAAACACATTGCATTTTTTAGATTTTGAAATAAGTTTAAACTTAGAAAAGAAGCAAAAATACTAAAAAGAATTTCAGGATACTTTTCATTACATTTTGATTATATCAATTAATCATCTCATTTATATTTTGTTTGTTTGTTGAAGAGAATTAGCAACATGGAAGACCAGGAAGGCATGACTTTCAAACCCAAAACGATATTTAGAAACTTTTGGCATGAAAAATATGTTATGCCTGTCTCCTCTACAAACAATATCAATCAACCCTGTTCAAAAGTTACTTCCCCTAGGAACTCATCATGGGTAACCAAACCAAACAAATGGTGATTGCCATTTAACCTCTACTTGCAAACTAAGCAAATTCTAGATGTACTTCGTAAAATGCTGCTCTGCCAATATTAATTCTTGGATTGACACTAAGCTTGTCTCTACCACTTCACTGTTAATTATGAGGACCTATCTGATACCCTACCACAGTGGCTTCCTTAGTTTTCTTGAAGGAAAAAAAAAAAGTTTAGATCTTAAAACAGTTATTTTCATCTGTGATGTTCCTAGACATTTTAATCACTTCATTCCTGTCCCTAGCCTCTCCTCATATCTATTCATGCTGATTAATCTTTTAAAAACATCTCATGCATTATGCAGCTTTTCTCCCTAGAAACATTTTCTCAATTCCTGGGGCCCAGTAGGGGCTCTCACTCTGGCTGTATTAGAATTACCTGGGGAGCTTTAAAAATGTTTGTGACCAAATCCCAACTCACACTGGTAAATTATAGCTCAGGCAAAAATATTTTTTAAATACCCAGGTAATTCTAATGTGCAGCCAGAGTTTAGATCCCTGGGTTAAGGTTGACATTTCTTTGTCCGGCTCTCGGGACATTAACAGTAAACGTTGGCCTCACTAGTCTTCTAGTAGGATCTCGTGCTCTTTACCGTTTGCTCCTCCTCGTCCTTATTTAACCTGTCATAGATTGGGTGACATTTTTTATGGATATATCATAATGCCTCTGAACCTGAAAAAAACCTCACATTTGTATAACACTTTATAGGTACAATTATAAGATTTTATATATAATCCATAAGAAACCTCTTCAGAGAGATAGAAAATATAATACTTCTTTAATAAGTAGGAAAGACAAGGGTTCAGACATATTGAATGCCCTTCGTGCAAGAATTTGCCCAGTACAAAGCACCCTAAGTGACAAGACTTGGGCTATTACTACTCTGCCTTCAGGGTCTATTCATTGGCTCATTTATTTACATATTTCACTCTGTTTAGATTTTTAATTATTTGCTGAGTGCATTCAATGTTTCTAAATTTTATTGGTTCACTCAGGTATGGCATTTGATATTTGCAATACCCTCGCTTACTCTAACAGTGAAACCACACAAAGAAACAAATAGCACTACAATATGTAAAAATGTATGCAAGGGTTGTTAAGGGTCAGAAAAGAGAGAATCATTAGACTCCAAGACTAGAGTCTTGAAAGATGGGCCAGTAAGGGAATCATGGATAGTATGAATTCAAGACAGAAGGAACGACATATGGAAAGACTAATAGATATGAATTCTCATGATTAGGCCTGTGAGTTTGACACTGTTTTAACCATATAGTGTATGAAGATACATTTGAGAATATGGACAGAAGTTGTTTGCACATTAAATTTCACAGTAACTTCAATGATGAGAAATTATAGAATTGAACTGAATATAAAGAATGACTACCAAATAATGGTCTAGGTGCTTTATAAACAGTGGTGGAAGCAAAGGTGAGCTTTAATATCATTTCTTCTTTTCTAACCTACCTAGGGAAATACAATATAAACAAAATGAGTGCATTTGCAATACTACTGTGGAACTCAGGTAAGTCCCTCTATCCCAACAATAATATTTCACGGACTAAAATTATTTCTGTTTGCCAAATTTGACATGAATAACTGTAAAATTAATTATAGTTAAGCTAGATTTTCTTAATTAGATTTAATGTGCAGAATATATATGTAAATTAAACTTGTGGAGTCTAAACTCAGTAACAGTCATAGTAAATGAAAATCATTTGGTGTGGCTCAGTTGGTTGGAGCACCTCCCCATGCACTGAAACGTTGCCAGTCCGATTCTCGATGAGTGCTCATTCCTAGGTTTCAGATTTGATCCCGGAGGGGATGTGTATGGGAGGCAATAAACCAATAGATGTTTCTCCCATACATCTATGTTTCTCTCTCTCTCCCTTCCCCTCTCTAAAAATATTGGTAAATCATATCCTTGATGAGGATTTTAAAAAATAAAAATCATTGTAAATACATTTGTTTTATACTTTAAAATCAATTTGAAGTTTTCTACTACCTATAATTAATAGTCATTATTGTAATATCTGAATAAATCTCCTTGAAACATTCATTGTAATTCCTGAGAAATTGTCCTTAACTACTTATAGAAAGACCTACTCAAAACTGCCTCATTATCAGGAATATTAGTTCTTTCATTTTTGACACAAAATTCTAGGAAAGCATTTTATAGCCATGATATCAAGAGAGATATATGAATAGTAGCAAAAGCAACAAAAGAATTATGAGGGAAAAAAATAAAAAAATAAGCTGTTTTCCTTGCTAAAAAGAGGTTTGTTCTTTACATTTTTCCACCCAACTCCATAGTAGCAGCAATGTGCCCTGTTATTGTACTCTCCTCCTACCTTCTTACAAATCAAAGTTGTTTGCTAAGAATTAATGGCATTGTTAAGAATTTTATGCAATCATTATAGAGGCAGTAGCCTTGTATTTATTATTGTTCCATAGGTTTCATTAAATAACAATTCTAGTTGAGAAAAACTCTACCAGAAAAATGTTTTGCCTACCCATTTTAAGAAACTAAGAAGTTCTTTTATGAAGAATTGTAAAGCATTCTTGCAACTGTTGATACAAAAGCCCTGAAGATTTATAAGAAACTCACTCTTACAGAAGGAACCTGCTTTAAAGAACTGTCTGTACATGGTGTCTATATTTCTCGCCACACATTGTTTTGGAGAGCACACACGTATCAAATTTCCACCATCTCTGTGCTCCTGAAACTGCTCTGTCATGGTCACTGATGATGTCCACATTAGGGACTCAAAGGGCAATTCTCAGTCCTCATCTTGCTTGACACACAGATAACTCCGTCCTTCTGGACGTGTTTATGTCACTAGCCTCCCCAGACAACACACACTCATGTTTTCTTCTTACCTCTCCTGCACTTTGTGGAATTATTGGACTGTTCATGTTGTTTTTGTTAACACTGAAAAGCCTAGAGCAGATGAGGCCTGAGTACTTTCTCAGAAAGCATCTTCTCCAATCGTTCCTGATTCTACAATTCTTTCTCAGTCAGACACATGAACAATTCCTCACACGTAAGCAGACAAGGGCAGGGCTCTTAGAACATTCCTAAACATTTTTACCTCAAAGAATATATTTTTTGAGTATTTCTAGAAGCTGATGAAAGTTGTATTTTTAGGGATCCATACAGTAGGTTCTTTTCATTTCTGAAAATTTGTTCCAATCATTTAGTGTCCTAAAACATACTCTGTCTCATATCAGGAAACCCGAGTCTGTATCCTTTTCTTTAATCTCTCCCATGTATCCTTCTCCATTGGTTTATTTTTCTGTTGTCATTTAATGTTTGCAAAACAAAGTAAAGATTCTCATCCGATTGTGGTGAACACAGGTGTGCAGGTTGGGTTATATATATTTTGACTTAAAGTGAAGATGCATTATATATTTTAAAACCAATTGCCATATAAACACCTAGTCAAATAAT